GCAGTAGCCTGCTAAAGGCTGGCTCTGCCACGCATCCTTTACTGCACCGGGTAACTATCTCTCCAAGGTCTACAGCAGTCAGGGAGAGGACTTTTCCAATAGAGGAAAGCGTGCGGCATCTACCCCTCCTCCCAGGAGGAAGTAGGTGAAATCTGTCAGGGTCGCACCGCCCTAGGGCTTGCGTCTGGACTTCGTCCCTCCCAGATATCCCAGCCAGAGAGCATTTGCTCTGACCGCAGTCAGAGCCAATGGCAAAAACCCTCTTGAAGCCCGGCCCCGCGGAAGGAAGGAACGGTTTCAGAGTTGTTTCTGTTTGATAGAAGAACACTGCAAGGCTCTGGTTTTACTCTGTGCGTGCCTAGACAGTCTCCAGAAGCAGTTTAGAAGCGACGAGAACGCCCGGCAACCGAAAGGATGCACTACGTGCTCGACTTTATCCTGATGCTGCCCTTGCTCATCGTCCTCTGTATAGAATCTTTCGTCAAGCTTTTTATTCCCAAGAAGAAAAAATCAGTTGCAGGCGAGATTGTCCTGATCACTGGAGCTGGTCATGGAATTGGAAGACTGACTGCCTACGAATTTGCCAAACTTAAAACCAAATTAGTTCTCTGGGATATCAATAAGGTAACAGCGCTTCCTTGCTGCCTTGCTTTGTGGACCTTCGCTCTGGGGACGGGTCCACACTTTGCAAACAACCACCCTTTAAGGCTCTCTGTAAAGAAGGTAGAGCTTTTAGTTACTATTGATATTTTTCAGATTTTGGAAGAGGCATGAGTTGATAATTTTAAGACCACTGATGAATGGACCTATGAGCGATAATAATCTTGGAATCGCCTGTAATCTCCCCCTGCTGACCCTCCTAAGCTTTTAGAAAAGGCAGCAGTTTTAGGTTGGATTCTGAAAGAGTCAGAACTGGGTAGCTCTTAAGTCTCTTCTGCTTTTTCTGAGATGAATTTAAAAATGACACCCTACAGAAATCACCATTATGCTGTCATAGTTACTGATTTAAGTCACCTTGTAGGAAAAAATAACTACAAGAGAAAGAATTTCCGTCCCCTGGCCCTGCAGAAGAGGTGTGCGAGGGAACTTGGGGACATGGCGGGAAAGCTGTAATCTGGCTTTTGGTAGATGAACACAGGGTTAGCGCCTGTCGGCCTAACGTGCCGTTCATTACACTGTGTGTGCACATCAGTTCTGAAAACAAGAAGCCAAGGTTCATGAGGTCAAATAATAACTAACTCAAGAGTGGTTGGGACAGCAGGTCGCTAATTCTCCATGGCTGTCTACTGCCTAGATGTTAAGACCAGGCGGCAGACAGGAGATGGAGTGCCTCAGTCTGGCAGATTAAACACGTACAAGGTATTTACACAAGGTAAGATGGACGAACCGGGCCAGCGTAGGTCAGCTGGCCGAGGCCCACATGGTCATATGGTCGGACACATAAAGGGCTCTTTGCTTCTTAGTTGAGAAACTTGGCTTCCTAACCCTTTAGTTTTCTGCACAAATCTATAAAATCGACATTAGAAGGAGATGATAAACCAATGCATGAGATAATTCGGCTAGGTGTCTAGCGGATGGCAGGCAAACTCGTGCGAAATTTTATGCTTGAACAAAGAGTAACTTGGGCTGACAACTTTCAGTCTCTAGCTCTGGTGAGCACGACATTTCCTCAGAAGGGTGTTTATCCAGTGAATGTCCACGGACACACACTGTCTGCTGGGCAGCAGTCTGATGTAGAACAGCAGTGAGGAGACCGCTGCTTGGGACTGTGGGGTGGGAAGGACAGATTGCCAGTCCCATCTAGGTGGCCACGGAAGCAAGGCCTCAGTAGATGGAGACAAGAGACAGGGATTGTAGGTATTAGGACCATGACACACAAGCACACAGAGACAGTTGCCTTGACAGGGCTCAGCAAATGTGAAGCCTGGAACAGTGAAGGGAAGAAAAGTCTAAGGTCTGGATCAAAGTCTGAGCTGGCGATGTAGGGAGAAGGCGCGCATCCATCATAGCTGTTCTGCTTTTAAACTCTTCCTGGTCTGACTCGGGAAGCGCTGGGCGGATAAACCCACTTGATTCCAAACTTCTAGTGTGCAAAGAGGAATCTAGACTATTTCGTCAGTGCTGTTTCAATGGTAATAGTTTGGTGGGTAACCTGGGTTAAAGAAAAGGGTGGGGTCAACAACGTCTCTCTGTAGTCACGCACAGAGTCGGAGAAACTTGGGACCGCTGATGGCTGTTGAGCAATGTGAGCAAGGCTGTGCCCATGCTCACTGTCTGTTTTATCTGCTCTGCTATTCGCTCTGACCCGTGGGCTGCACGTGATGTTTAAGTCAGCCTTTCCATGCTTTCCAACACACTTAGGTTTCATTGTAACAATACACACTTCTATGACGTATACAACTAAAACATGGAATCCTGTGGAAACACATACACAGACAAGTACAAGCACTATGACAGATGAACCCTGGGCAGACAGCATGGCTGCTAAAGTGCACGAGGACCCCAGTGCCCACTTAAAAATCCAAGTGCAAAGACCAGGCCTATAAGGACTGTCGCTGTTGGGTGCCTGGAGGACCTCAAGCAGATTTGAACTCCAGGCTCAGCGAGAAACCCTGTTCCCAAAACTAAGACAGAAAATGATTAAAAGGATGATTGAAGAGCGCTCACACAAGTGTGTACACGTGAATATGTACACATACATATACCACACACTTGGATGCATACATATGTGTGCGATGCATGCGTGCACATACACACATACACACACAGAGAGGAGCTTGTCTTTGTTAAGTTGGCTGATGTGTGAGGTGCAATTGATTCAGAAATGATGTTTTGATTTCCTTTACTATCTGAATCCCTACGATTTAATTGATCCAATGTTTTTACTGAACTTGTCAGAATGCTGTCCTGTTTTGACATTTCACTATGAAATATTTTAGTACAAATATTTAGGGGAAAACTCTAATTGGATGCATCGGAAAAACAAATTGTTCCACTAACCAAAAATAATTCTGCTAGTTTAAATTTTATTTTTGTAATATACTACTAAAAAAAACAAAAAGAGAACTGTGACTCATTACATTTTGGAGACCTAAGGCCTGAAGCCCCTGGTGGTGGTGTCTTGGGAGATATTGTGAGTACTGTGGTTTTGACCCTTGGAGGCAGTAGAGAGTTAGGAGGTAACTTTCCTCAGGGATCCTCTGATCTCTGGGTCATGGAGACTGGAGAAGGGGCCTGGAAGGAGGCAGTGAAGGAGGCCAGCAGTTAGGACCCCGTGGGTTGTGAACACTCAGGTGAGTGTGGACGTTTCAATCACCAAGTGTGGTAACAGCCGTTTGTGCAAACCATCAAAGACTAGTGCGCATGATAGGTTAGTTATTCAATAACCACTTTGTATTTTAACATTCCGTCTGCCTACCTGATCCTAAGCTTTTGTGCAATGCGTTCCATCATTTACGCAGTTCTCTCGCCCTCTTTGGGGCTTTTTCTAGAGCGGCATTGAGGAAACGGCCTTAAAGTGCAGGAAACTGGGCGCCCAGGCCCATCCCTTTGTGGTGGACTGCAGCAAGCGGGACGAGATCTACAGTGCAGCAAAAAAGGTAAAATTCTACCTGGAGTTGGAAATATGTCAGGGGTGGGGGCGGGGGACTTGGAAGTGCGGTGGAGATGGTCACATTGACTCCTTACACAAAGTAGTTGAGAAACACTGTGGTTGTGTAGTTGTGAATTTCCCAAGAATGTATGTCTGGCTAGTGACAGACCTGCAACTGTACCATGTGACATAGTGTGCTCTACAGCCTTCTAGGGAACTTACTGGAAATACATACACTTGGGGAAGGAGAGATAAAATAGATGGTTTAGGCATGCTTGCTGTACAAGCCTAGCACACAGCCACACATATCTAAGGCTTCCTGGCTGCCAGCCTGGCTCAGGGTTCAGGAATGAAAGCAGAAAACAATAATGTCCTCCTCTGGCCTCTTGTGTGTACATAGGCCCATGTACTTACATATATATACATATCACACACACTGTACACACAGAGAGAGAAATATATATGTGTGTGTATGCATATATATATTTGAGGGAGCTGGGGGGGCTACTGTGTGGCAAAGTACTTACCGAATGAGTATAAGGCCTTGGCATCAATCTCCAGAAAAGAAAAGTCAAGGTGTGTGTAGGTGTGTGTGTGAGTGTGTGTGTGTGTGTGTGTGTGTGTGTGTGTGTGTGTGTAGAGATAAACATGCATACCTAAGCATTGTTAGCCTTGCTTCCAGTGGGTTTCTTTTTTTCTGGTGTAGAGCAGACTCCAGGAATCTAACACTGAGTATCTCCCCCACGGTCTAACGTGGTCTAATGTCCTTGACTGGTACACCCTTATCTCTCCCCCGCGGTCTAATGTGGTCGAATGTCCTTGACTGGCACTTGCCAACTCTGACAGCATCTTCTGAAGTCCAGCCAAAGACATGGGTGTGAAACTTACTCTGTGTTGGCTTTGAATCATAGGTTTATCTAGCCCTACAAGGCCTTGCTGCACTCCTCTCTGCCTCCAACTGAAATGTTCTTTTGTGTGAAATGTGTTCTCATTTGTACCAGTGAAGGCAGGTCATGAGAATAATAGGCAAATTCTTTAAAATCTGCATTTCTAGACCTCTCCTTAAGCTATTTCTGATTTGGCAGACACAAAGATCCTGACTCAAACAGGCTTAAGGCTTCTTTGTTTAGATTTAGATATGGTTAAATTTTTCCTTCTATTTTCAAATTGTTTGTTTGGATTTTTTATTTAAAATTTTTGACATTATAATTACCTCATTTCTTCTTTCTCGTTTTCCCCTCCAAACCCTCTCATTATACCCCACCTTGGTCTCTTCCAAATTCATGGCCTCCTTTTTCACTAATTGTTGTGTGTATATATGTATGTGTATACATATACGTTCTTAAAAATAACCTATTCAGTCTGAACAGTGTTTCTTGTATGTATGTTTTCAAGGCTGATCATTTGCTGTTGGATAACCAGTTGGTGTGCTCTTCCCTGGGGAAGACCACGTCTCTCATTCTCAGAATTCCTAAGCTGTCTAGAGCGTCCTTTCTGCAGGGCTGAGGTCTTGTGGTCTTTCTCCCACCCACTTTGGCATGTGTACAGCTAGTGCCCTTGTTCAGCTCATGTTTGTGCAGTCACATTGGTGAGATGCTATGTGTGTGACTTCTGAGGAGACACACCCCACAACAACTCGCAGGTCCTCTGACCCTTGCAATCCTTCTGCCCCCTCTCCCATAAGGTTCTCTGAGTCTTGGCTGTAGGATGGTTTTGTAGATGTGTCTCTTATGACAAGGCTCTCCCGTTTTGCATTTTGACCAGTTGTGGGTTTCTGTAGCAGACGTTTCCTTGATAAGGGTTGAGAACTACACTTACCTGTGGATGTAAGGACAAATATTTTGAAGGTAGTAAAGGGATTATGCTGGTTAAGTAAAGTGGTGGTTTTAGCTTCTCCTCTAAGATCCGGATTTCACTACCCCTGGGTCGATGACTGTTTCCAGTACAAGGCATGACTTCCCTCTTGCTGAGCAGGCCTTTAGTTCAATTAGAGAGGTGTTGGTTACCATCTTTGTTAGGGTCACTATTGCTGTGATGAGACACCATGATCAAAAACAGCTTGGGGAGGAAAGGGTCTGTTTCACTCACAGCTCCATGGAACAGTCGTCATCCAAAGCAGTCTGGACAGGAACTCACTCACAGCAGGAACCTGGAGGCAGAACTGAGTCAGAGGCCAAGGAGGGTTGCTGCTTACTGCCTTGCTCATATGACTTGCTCAGTCTGTTTTCTTGGGTTTTTGATTTTTTTTTTGGTTGGGGGGTTGTTTTGTTTTCGTTTGGTTTAGTTTCTCAAGACCAGGTTTCTCTGGGTAACCCTGACTGCCCTGGAACTCATTTTGTAGACCAGGCTGGTCTTGAACTCACAAGAATCCACCTGCCTCTGCCTCCTGAGTGCTGGAATTAAAGGTGTGAGCCACAGCTTCTGACTTTTTTGTTTGAAGTGAATAGTTGAAAATATGATTCCTTGTGATGTTTTCAGACATCCTTACTGTTACTTTACCCTCTTTCCTAGGTATTTATGTACCCTTCCTAATTTGAGCCCCCCCTTCCCGATTCTCTGTCAGATCAATTATATCCTGCTCCTCCCTTCCTGATTGATTCCCAACACCCCTACCCTAGCAATTGCCCGTTGTACTTTTCTGGTTTCTGCAGTTACTACAGGGTATGTTCTCAAACTGCAGATTGGAGCTGGGAGCCAAATGAGAAAGAACAATCAACACTCAATATGATCTTTTCTAATTCCATCCATTTGCCTGCAAATCTCATGATTTCATTTTTTTTCACAGCAGAATAGTAGTCCAAGGTGTACATTTATGACATTTTCATTATACAGTGGCCGGTTAGTTCTTTTTCCTAGCTACCGTGAATAGAACACCAATAAACATGGCTGAACAAGCACCGGTGGAGGAGGATGTCAAGTCCTTTGGGAATGTGTCAAGAAATGGTATAGCTGGATTGAAGCGTTTATCTAATTATTCTTTATCAATAAAAAAAATTAAGCCTGAATGATCAGAGAAGCAAAGAAGCCACCAGTCACCTCCTTTCTCTTCCTTACCTCAATCTAAAAGGACTGAGATCCTCTCTCAGCCCCATTTTACTACTTCCTGTCTCCTATCTATCCTCAGTCCTCCAAAGACTTCTATGGTTAATTTTGGTCAGTTAGTGGCTAGCTCTGTCCTCTAACTCAAAGCAGACTTTGTTGTCAGAATGCTATCAAAATATCACACAATCCTGGGTCATTTGGCAGATTTATTTTTTACTTTTTGTGAATCCCCCCCCCCCACCTCTCTCTCTTTCTGCCTGTGGATTAGGATGTAGTTCTCAGCTACTGGCCTAGCACCAACATGCTGCTATGCTCCCACCATGATGATAATGGACCAAACCTATTAAATTGTAAGAAAGACCCCAATTAAATGCTTTCTTTCATAAGAATTGCCTTGGTCATGGTGTCTCTTCACAACAACTGTGGCTAAGCCAATTTTTCTTCTTGATTTTTTGTTTTGTTTTTTATTTTTTTAGTTCTTTATATAATTTGCATATTAATCCTCCGTCAGATGTGTAACCGGCAAAGGCTCTCTCTCAGTCTGTGGACTTCGTCTTACTTAGTTGATTTTTTCTTTAGTTAGGCAAAAAGCTTTTTAGTTTTATGAAGTGCGGCTTGTTCTTGGGCAAATGGAGTTCTATTCAGAAAATCATGTTTGTTTGTTTGTTTGTTTGTTGGCAGTTTCAGTGTTCCAGGTTTAGGTCTTTGGTCCATGTGGAGTTAGTTTCCGTGCAGGGTGACAGATACAGGTCTAATTTTATTCTTCTGCATGTGGAATTTGGTTTTCCCAGCACCAGCTGGTGAAGATGATCTCTTTTAGCCAGCTTGTGTTTTGGCATCTTTGCTGACTATTACGTGGCTGAAGGTGTGTGTGCTCATGCTTAGGCCTTAGATTTTATTTGATTAGTCTGGCGTCTGCTTCTGGGCTGGTACTGGATTGTCTTTATTACTGTAGCCCTGTAATAGATCCTGAGATTTGGACTGGTAATCCTTCCAGCATTGTTCTTTTTGTTCCGGATGATTTTGGCTATCGGGGGCCTTTTGTGGTTCCATATGAATTTTAGGATAGGTTGTTTATCCCTGTGAAGATTGGGATGGGGATTTTGATTGGGATTGTATTGAATCTATAGCTTTTGCTAGAAGGGTCATTTTCTTTCTTTTTTTATTTACTCATTTAATGTACATTGGGGTTTTGCCTGTATGTATGTCTGCGTGAAGGTGTCAGATCCTCTGAAACTGGAGTTACAGGCAGTTATGAGCTGCCATGTGGATGCTAGGAGTTGAACCTGGATCCTTTGGAAGAGCAGCCAGTGCTCTTATCCTCTGAGCCGTCTCTCGAGCCCGAAGGGTCATTTTTATATTATTAATTGTAGCAATCCATGATCATGGGATGTCTTTCCATGATCTAGTGTCTTTTCTATCTCTTTCGTCAGTGGTGTAAAGCTTTCACTGGAGAGATTCTTCACTTCCTTGGTTAAGTTTAATCGTAGATATTTTATTTTCTTTGTGGGCATTATAAATGGGAATGTGTCCATGTGCTCTTCTTTTTATGTTTGTTGTTAGGGTATAGAAAGGCTATTGATTTATTCAAATTGAGTCAGTGTCCTGGCACATTGATAAATTTATCATATCTAGAAGTTTTATGGTAGAATTTTTGGGGTTTGTAATGCATAGTATCATGTCATCTGCAGATAGGGTTAGTTTGGCTTCTTTCCCTGTTTGTATCTATTTTATTTCTTTCTCTTGCCTTATGGCTCCAGCTAGCACTTCAAACACAACATTGAGAAGGAATCAGAATAGGAGACAGCCCTCTCTCATTCTGACTTCACTAGGATTGCTTTCGGCTTTTCCCCATTTATGATGACATTGGCTTGGGTCTCTCATGGATAGCTTTTACTATGCTGAGGTATGATCCCTTTAGCCCTACATTCTCCAGGACTTTCATCATGATGGCATATTGTCTCTTGTCAAAGGCTTGTTTCTACATATATTGAGATGACCACATGGTTTTTGTTGTTGTCAATTTATGTGATTTAATATATTTATTGAAGTATTTATGTTTCAGGGATATAGTCAACTTAGTCATGGTAGATAATCTTTTTGATGTATTCTATTTGATGGCAAATCATGGTAGGTATTCTTTTTGATGTATTCTATTATATTCTATTTTTGATCTATTCTATTTGCTTTATTGAACATTTTTTTGAGTCTATGTTCATCAGGGATGTTGGCCTATAGTTTTCTTTCCTTTTTTTTCTTTTTTTTTTTCTGTGTCTTTTCCTGATTTGGGTATTCAGGTGATATTGATTACATAGAAAGAGCTTGGGTGTGCTCTTTAATGTTTTTATTCTTTGAATAGTTTAAGAAGGGTTGGCTGTTGATCTTCTTTGAAAGTCTGATAGAGTTCTGCTTTGAATGCATCTGGTCCTGGCTTTGTTTTGTTTTGTTTTGTTTGGCATTTTTACTTTGACTTTTAGCTGAAAGGCTTTTTATTACTGTTTCAATCTCCTCATTTGTTACAGATCTGTGTAGGTTGTTGACTTCTTGGTTGAATTTGGCTGAATCTAGAAATTCATCCCTTTTTTCTGGTAGCCTTTCTGTGTGAGTTTTTTTGTGGAGATCTGGAAGAGTCTGTCTTCCACCCTTTAATGGCCTAAACCATTCTATTGGTTCCTGCTTCTTATCTTTAAAAAATGGACAAACAACAGTCATTGGCTTGAGCATTATTGTGAACACTAACTACAAAGAATGAACCCATCCTAAATGCACAGCAAAGGCTTCCAATAGGCAGTTTGCTGCTTTTCAGTGCCCCAGCCTTACCACGGCACTGCCACAAGTAATGGCAACTTCGTGAGGAGAGGCCGCTGTTATGTGGAACCCAGTATGTAACAGGGTCTGACTCTGGGGTCCACGCAGTCAGTGAGCTAACTACGCACACAAAACAAAAGTTCTGGTACGATGTCCTTGCTCTGCTAGACCTGGGAGCTCTGGCGCACCTGTTATGAAAAGGAGCTTACACATCAATGTTTGTGCGCTTTTATTTAGGGCTGCTGTTACTGATTACAGTAGAACCCTGGAAATGCAGTGGTCACTTGGAAAAATCACCAGAAGTTCCTTCTTCCTGAATAGGGCAGCTTTCACCGCTCAAACGATGCCACGTGCGGCCCTGGGCAGCCAGCCCTGTGATCATGCTCATACTTCTCAACGGAAATCATTTTACCCATAGCTGCAATAACCTTTGAAAATTTGACTTTCGTGGCTTATGGAAGCCCCCCCCCCCATATAATCACTTTAGTTTCTCAAATGTTCTTCCTTCTTAACTAATACCAAAGATAGGAGCTAATTACCCAGGGGAAACACTTACATGGTAGAAACCATGCTTGTAACTTTTTATTTGTGCTTTTATTTTTGTTTGTTTAGAGACAGGATCTCGCTATGCAGCCCTGGATGGCTTAGAACTCTCTATGTATATCATATTATACTCCAACTCACAGCGATCTGCCTGTATCTGCCTTCGGAGTTCTGGAATTAAAGATGTATACTACTATGTCCAACTATTTATAACATTTATATTATTTACCTCATATATATTTCCATATCAAGACCTACTCAGATACCTCATAAAATCAAGAAAAGAGCCTATAAACACATCCCTTGGGTATAGGTATAAATAGATGTGTATTGATGATATAATAATAGTAATAGCACGTTATAAATTATACCAGATAGCTCATTTACATGTTGTTCCCTTATTCCCACAGTAACTTACAACACGCTATATTCTTAACGCTATCTAAGAGCAGCAATGGAAAATTTGAATCACTTATTTAAAGTGCAGAGTGTGGCAGAGACACAACTCGACTCAAGACTGACCAAAGACCCCCTACTTTATATACTCCTCCGCCTTTTGCCACCCAGTAGAGAATGGCTGGTGAGAAACAAAGCAAAATCATCATGACAACAAGGAAATAGATGCGACTATCTCAATAGTGTAGCCAGGCTTACACAACCTCCTATAACCTGTCCTAGACTCTGCTAACAAATTTAGCTGATTTCTGCTTACCTTTAGAAGAAGTGTTTAAAAAGCAATGCTATTTATACAAATATCTCTTTAGTCATAATCAATAAGAGCAAAGTCAATAGACTAAATTGTAGGTAAAGTAAAAAGGGCCTTTCACCTCGTATTGGCATACAGGTAACAGAATAACTGCTTTTTTCCTCATGCCTAGTAGATAAAAAATGTATGTTCTTTTAATAGTCAGTATATATGCAAATTTGCGGTCAAACCACTTAGTGAATATAGTTTTCTTTTTGATATTTAAGGTAAAGGAAGAAGTTGGGAATGTTAGCATCCTGGTAAATAATGCTGGTGTTGTCTACACTTCAGATCTGTTTGCTACGCAAGATGCTCAAATCGAAAAGACTTTTGAAGTCAATGTGCTTGCACACTTTTGGGTGAGTGCAATTTCTTTTACAAAATACTTCCTTTTGAAGACCCAAAGATTAAGAGTTCATTTTTAATGACATGACTGCCTTTTTTCTAACAGTTGTCCCTTCCAAAATTAATAATGAAGTATGTCCTTGTAAGTTTCTGGTGTTGTGTGTGTTTTGATTCTTCTGGCTTTTTAGTATCAAGGTCTCAGGTAGCACAGGCTTGCCATAAACTTAATATAGAGCTGAGGCTAGCTTTGAACTCCTGATCCTCCTGCCTCTACCTTCAAAGTGTTGAGTTTGGAGGCATACATTATCATGCCTTGCTATGATCCTGTAACAAGGGTGAGTGTAGTGTGCTTTCAAACTCTTGTGAGACTCAGGCTCCATATTGTTTCCTGGCCTCGAAAGCTGCAGACTTTATAGTGGAACTCACTGTTCAAGGACTCTAGTGTCCTTCACTTCAAATAGTTCCCAAACAGCTAGTTTATAAAGAAACCCTTGATATTTTCTTGGATGTGAGCTTGGGCTAATAAGAGTTCAAGAAACTGCAGTGTACTGGTTACCCCGCTTTTCCCAAGCCGTAGATGCCTGTCTTCCTGTGTTTACATTTGATAAAATACAGTGTGTTATCTCATTTGCTTCTGTATCCCCAGCATGCATACAGTGGTTACTCAATAAGCATTTAGGAACCACTGGAAGATTGCTCCTTGTGGTTTTTGAGATCATGATCAAATTATTGTCTAGCAAATTAATATGAAACATTAACCCTTCTTGTACACCAGTGTATCACTCTTATTCGGTGTATAAGATGATAGAAGACATCAGTGCTGAGGGGTAAAAGGCTAGGGATAGAAGCAGTGAACCTTTTAAAGGAGATGGGTTCTCAACGCTTTCAGTGTCCATCTGTTGTAATGATTCCGCTGTGGCGCCCTGGCCATTTGTCCAGGCCAATGCTGAGCTTGGCAGTCGGGTGTTTTCATTTATATCAGGAACGATGTTTGGATAGCTTATCATTGCTTCAGGTAGTCTCCATGAACCTGTGAATCATAAATAATACATGGTTTTGTAATAAAAAATTGTTTCTAGACCACAAAGGCATTTCTTCCCGACATGATGAAGAATAATCATGGCCATATTGTCACCGTGGCATCAGCAGCCGGGCACACGGTGGTTCCCTTCTTGCTGGCTTACTGGTATGTGACTACTTTTATTCTACTGACTCCTATGCTTAACTTGTATGCTTTTATGTCTTATTATTTTGGTTATATCCTTAGAAACTTTTATATAAGATTTACACATATCTTATATAAAAATAAGTTACCCACCTACTATGTTTACTTATGCATGTATATTTATACACATCGATAGCTACATGTACAGACACATTCAATGTAATTTTAGAGTGTAGGCACTTAATTTTTCCTTCCCTATTTAATGAGGACTGTCTTCATCATGATAACAGACTTGAAGTTGCCCAAAGAGAAAGAGCTATGCAAAGCCTTGAGATTAACAGTATCATCAACTGTTAAGCCCCTTTTCAGTTCGCCTCAACAACTTTTCAGTTCTAGAGGTCTCTGGAGTGATTGACACAATTATAAGACAGTCACTGAAAACATTTTCCGTGCCTTCTAACAAGAAGGAAACAAAAGCATAATGATTTTGCGCCATGATGATGGCTGTAAAATAACTTACAAAGAGGAATGATGGTTTAAAATTGACGAGGGTTTCGCTTGTCTGCGATAGCTGTGACCACAGCACAGTGGTTATCCTCTATCTGAGCTAACGCTCTGTGGTTTCTGAGCCTCGCAGAACCCCCACCGGAGTCTTGGCTATCATGTTCGTCTGCGAGCCAATCACAGCCTTCACTGGTTGTAGTCTGTCTGTCTCTGTACTGCCACGTGGCTCATGGAGCTTACCTCTCCTCCTACACGTCCTGCTTCCTCTGCCTCCGACTGGCAACCTAATGTCTCTTCCTCTCTGAGTCCTCTCTGTCTTCACAAATCCCACCTAACCTCTTCCTGCCTGGCTATTGGCCATTCAGCTCTCTATTAAACCAATCACGGTGACTCATCTTCACACAGTGTAAAGGAATATCCGCAGCACTGGTTCAGTTCCACTGAGTGTCTGCTCAGGGCTGAAGTTTTCAGATACTGAAGACCTCTACCAGAAAACCACGTCACCAGATGTTGGTAACAAGGGGTTGACTGAGCCTGTGTTCTAAGTGAACACACTACTTTCTTTTTTCTTCTTCCTTTGTCCTTTTTCTCTCTCTTCCTCTCTTCCTCTCCTTCGCTCCTTCCCTTCCTCCCTCTTTGTGTGTGTGTGTGTGTGTGTGTGTGTGTGTGTGTGTGTGTGTGTATTTTGTTTTGTTTTGAGACAGGGTCTCATGCAGCCAAGCCAGAGATGATCTTGAAGTCCTGTTCTTGTTTTTACCTCTTGAGTCCTGGGCTTACAGGTGTGTGCCAGTGTGCCTAGTCTCTTCAGTGCTGAGTCACACCCAGGGCCTTGTACATGCCAGATGAACACTCTGTGTAGTGCTGAATCATACTCAGGGCCCTGTTCTTGCCAGGTGAATACTCTATCTGTGCAATACTGGATCACACCCAGGAACCTGTGTGTGCCAGGTCAGCACTCTGTCTGTGCAGTGCTGGATCACACCCAGGGCCCTATGCACTCCAGGTGAGCACTCTACACTGAGCCACATCCTGGCCCTGACACTGCCTTTTAATTGTAAAGCTTTTTAAAAGCTTTACAATTTTAAATTTTTAAAAGCTTTACAATACTCAGTGGGTAGAGCATGAGACTCTTAATCTCAGGGTCGTGGGTTTGAGCCCCATGTTGGGTGCCAGTCTGTAGTAAGGAGGCCTCTTGTTGATTCCTGACTGCCTGGCTATCTTAGACCCAAAATAATCACACAGAAACTATATTAATTAAAGCATTTCTTGGCCCATTAGCTCTAGCTTCCTATTGGCTAACTCTTACATATTAATTTAACCCATTTCTATTAATCTGTCTATCACCACGTGGCTGTGGTTTACCTGTTAATGTTCTGGTGTCTGTCTCCGGCAGGGCTACATGGCGTCTCTGATTCTGCCCTTCTTTCTCCCAGCATTCAGCCTAGTTTTTCCTGCCTACCTAAGTTCTGCCTTGCTATAGGTCCAAACAGTTTCTTTGTTAATCAATGGTACAGAAGGAAATTCCATATCACTAATACACATTTATAATAATGAAAAATGATTGCTTCAAAGTAGATCATCTATTTAAAAAGTCATCATAAAAAAGCCATCACACCTGGGGCCTCTTAGTGCTCCCCTAGTTACCATCGTAACGGCACAGGTTACATTTGCCCTCTTTTGATCTTTATGTGCGTGGAATCTCACCATGTTTGTGAGATGTGCCCATAATATCATTTGTGGCTATTGCTTAATCATACGTAGTTTTATATCATGTGACTCTACAGCAACCTGTTTGCCTGTTCTACGGTCATGAACATCTGGGGTGTTGCTAAGTTGGGATTCTTATGGGATAATGATGTAGGCGAACTTGCTCACCTTTCCTGTGCTGGATTTTCCTTATCCATGAAGCAGTTTGATAACCGTATCTGATGTAAATCCTAGAACGCAGATTCTGGGATCTGGGCACTGCTTAGTAATTGGAGAGCAGCTGCTGGAATTTCAATTCCACTTCCCTGTACTCACCAAAAACAATAGGGCCCCACCTGTCGGCTCCCAGAATAGGGCCCCCAGAAACCGGTTCTGTGTTCTCCAGCTGCCCTTTGTGGGATAAAGCGCAGGGAAAACAGAATTGCTGACTCTTTTCTCTATGGCCGAGCCCTCTCCTGTCACTGTAGTGGTTGTCACAGCACAAGGACTCTCTGACCATCTCTTTGAGGAGAAAGGGAATCACGCTGGAGGAGCGATAGCGGAACTGTTTCAGCGAGTAACGTGAAAGGGCACAGACAGCACTGACGTCATCGTGAGGAAGACGAAGCTTTCCTAAGATGATGTTTGGTGTTTGTCAAGTGGGCTTTTTATGGTACCTTGATTTTTAATACAATATTTTATTAAGTCTTTGGGAATTTCATGCCTTGTATTTTTATCATATTCACGGCCTCCCATTTCTCCCTCTAACTTCTCCCTGATCCACCACCCTTCTTGAATGAAAAAGAAATAAAATAAAACAGGAAAGGACATGACTGTTCCTAGGTACATTGGAAGAGAACGTTTAGTATAGACACGTGGGAGAACATAGCCCATAGAGACATCTGGGAGAGCCCAGAGTGGACATGGCCTGAGCCATGGGAGGAGAAGGTAAAGGGAGAGGGGCTGCTGACCAGGAGGGGGCAGCCTGGGCCAAGGGACTGGCATAGCCAAAATGGTGGGATATATAGAGAAGGGCAGTTGGGGCAACCGAGTGCCTGGGCTGGAAATGTTTAGGGTAGGAGATGGGATGTGCCAGCCATACCCTGTAGCAGGTAGGGACTGAGGGATGCTGGGAGAACCTGGTGACCAGCATCCCTCCTTTCCTGCTCCCAACTTCAAAGTTGATTTTTAAAAGAAAGCAATGAGCTTGAAAATATATTTTGTCAACACAAATAGCCAGGGTAGGAACACTCAGCAAAACTGCATGTGAGCATTGGCTTACGATGAAATGCTGCTTAAAACATGATTGTAAGTCGGGAGTAATAATTCCGACTGTAGTGAAGAATGAAGGTGATGTTGCAAAGGGTGGGGAGTAGCCCACTCCCTTCTAGGTTTCCTATATTCGTATCGAGGTTCACCCTAAAGTGCATACCTACTCTCTGTTGACACACCATTCTGAAAACCTCTTAACATCCTCAGAGACTGGAACTCTTGCAGGACCTCGCAGCCAGAGTTAACAACCCGCCTTAAAGCCTGTTAAGACTGCTCCCCTACTGCGTGCTGAAACTGTTTAACCTGCCTATAAAACAACACTGTACCAATCAACCTCACTTGCCTTGGATTTCCCTCGAAATCCACGTGTACAGCCTAAGCCAGTGCACACCTGTGATCTTAGCTCACTCTTCCCTGCCCCTGACCCAGAGCCAACCTGTGGGGCGTGGGAGACTTTGCCTCAAAACAGACAGACTACAAAAAACAACTGCAATGTGGTCTTGTATTCCTAATTGAAAATTGTTAAATTATACATATTGTGTGCCAGCACTGTTTTCTTTTTTGTTTGGTTTTGTTTTTTGTTTGTTTGTTTGTTTGTTTGTTTGTTTGTTTGTTTTTGAGGCAGGATTTCTCTGTGTAACAGCCCTGGCTGTCATCATGGAACTGGCTTCAAACTCGTGGAGATCCGCCTGCCACTGCCTCCAGAATGCTAGGATTGAGGTGTACGCCACCATGCCCAGCCCGCCAGCATAGTTTCAGTTCCTGTGACCTGATACTTTGTACAGCACGACCCAGTCATTCAGTGTTGTAAAGACTGTCTCAGGATTCTCTCAGTTACTAGGAATAACAAAACTCCAGAGCCAGGAGGAGCCAGTCAGTCTCTGGCAGGCTCCTCCCTCTTGAGGATCAGCCACCAGCAGGTCAACTGACCCCTTCAATCCTCAAGCTTAGCAAGACCATCACTTCCCCAAAGGGCCTTCAAACAAGAGTTCTAGGTCCAGGGTCTAGAGCAATCTGGATCCAGTTCTAGAGATTTGGCTGCTTGATAACTGAGGTGTGACCAGATCACGGGATCCAAACGCTGCCCATCACAGACAGTTTTAATTGTTCTCAATTACGCACTTCCACGAGCTTTACCCCACATTAACCTTTAAACTACCACTGATGTTTCCTCCATGTAAACTCTTAGACATGATGCCAAATCAAAGAGGAGGGAACCGTGAATTTGATTCAACTTTAATTACTTTTATGTCTTTGTCAAACTACCTTTCAGAAAGGGCTAGTTTACCCTGTGCTTTGGAAAACAGAAAGCTGTGGTACTTTTTTTAAATCTCAATTTAAAAACAAATCGAGAATTTTAAAAGTTGCTAGGCTCAATTAATTATGAAGAAGTCCACCAGTCTGTTGAAAGACAAACAGAAAATATGAGTTTTCACATTGTTTGACGATTATTCATTAGAGAAGGATGCTAGTGTGTGTACTCTATGAGTTACGACCCAAATGAACGTGTTTATACATCCGTCTCTGTTGATAATTTATTTCATGATTTTTCTTCCAGTTTCCTTTAGTCTTTTCTTTTTTTAATAGAACAAACCTTTTATTAGCTCTTAGAGGATTCTTTTTTTCCCAGATAGTTTTGTTTTGCTCTGAAGTGCTGAGGATCAGACTCAGTACCTTCCATGTGCCAGGCCAGCACTCTGCCCTAAGCGATGCCCCTCACCCACGCTGCTATAGTTTAGCACTCTTGCTGTGTGTTGTGGATGTTCAGAGGGTTGTCCTTTACTGGCTGATTTTGTCAGGAGCCTATCACCTTTAGGTTGTTGACTATTCGGGTCTGATTTATTGTTTACTTTTTTAAAGGTTTTTTTTTTTATTTTGTGTATGAGTATTTTGCCTGCCTGCTCGTATGTGTAGCACATGTGAGCCCGGTGCCTGTGGAGGCTGGAAGAGGGTGTTGATTCCCTTGCAGCTGGAGTTACAGACAACTGTGAGCAGCTGTGTGGGTGCTGAGACCAGCAAAGGCTCTTAACCGCCAGCTGCCTCTCAGCCACGCTTGCTCCCACTTCAAGTTTGCTTCTACCTCCTCAGTTTGCATCTCGAGCTTTGATTTCTGCTTCGGTAAACCACACTCATAAAAACACCTATATCATGGATTGTTGTGAGGGTTAAAATTCACTGGGAGCAGCTCCTGTCCTACACAGATTAATTTTAGGTGTCATTGCTACTATATGTTATGTTCTTCAGTGCAGTGAAGCTTTGTACCTCTTTATTGAAATCAATGTATTTTGTTTACGGTTCAGTATATTTCTAGGCTTAAAAAAAAAGAAAACTTTCTACAGCTTTCTGTTTTTCAGAGGACAGCTTAATTGACAAGAATGTGTAGAAACCTTATCTAATTTCTTGTTCATAGAGATTTAAAAGCATAAAACTACCTTGCAATTAATATCGCTGAACTATATGCTTGAGATAACAGGTTTTATATTACATGTATCTTATGACAGTTTTTATAATTAGTAATGTAAGATACCAACAAATGATTGAATTATATACCTTTATATATGAAATATAATGTATTAGATGTTTTCATATAAAATTTAAAGTAATGTATACTTTCTATCCCTATAAAGCTCTTTTTAAAGCTACCTGGAAAAATAAGGTCTATTTAGAGTAGTTTCACAATATTTCCAAATTAAGATGTTTTTGTCAGAATTGCTTTGCACTCTGATTCATTTGACAGACATTTCCTGAGTACTGTTAAAAGGCCAGTCCTAGGCCAGGCCCTGGGGACTCATTTGTGACCAATATCGTCACGGAGGAAACTACAGTAAAAGTGTAACAGGAAAAGATCTTGGGGAGTGGCTCAGTCAGTAAAGTGCAGGGCTGGCTACCCAAACCCAGGAACTGAGTTCAAACACCCCCCCCCCGTTTTCCCCACAAGCCCAGCAGCAGCCCACACCTCGATCCCAGCACCATCCAGGCAGAGAGGGAGAGGAGGATCTCCAGGGCTTGCTGGCCAGCCGGTGTAGTCACTGAGCAAGCTTCAGGGAGAGGAGGATCTCTGGGGCTTGCTTCAGGTTCAGTGAGAGACCCTGTCTCGAAAAATAAGGCAAAGGGCATTAATAAGAATCATCAATGTCAAAATCTTCCTTTAAACAAATATATACACAGTGCATGCATGCACACATGTGCATACACACCGTTTCAGGGTCAATAATTCTTAAAGAATTGTATATACAAAAAAGCACAGTCAGTGTTTCATTACAAATCTGAAACATTCTATCCTCGAAAACTTAAGAGTGTTATATAATGGGTATGGGAGAGGGGCGGGAAGGACTCGGAGTAAGTTAAGGTGTGACTCAAAGGAAGAACAGGTGTCTATCCAGGACCTGTCCACTGAATAACACAACTGTTTTATATTAAATAATAAGCAGATTCACGGTGACCTTGGATTTTATGGAAAGAACAATAATGAAAGCAAACTCAAAAATGAGTCTCCTGCCAGCTCATTTCATTCAGAGTCCAGCCTGCTAGGGATGCAGTGTGTAGGAACTACCGTGTGCCCTGTGCCTGAGGCTCTCCTGTGCCAAGGAATTTACCTCTGTCACTCTGGCCCTCTCAGTCTACACCAGACCTGAGAGGAGGGGTGCCCCCGCTGCCGACCCGAAGAGCTCACCAGACTGTAGGACCAGTGCCCCTGAATTGACTTGTGACCTCTTTCTTTCAGTTCCAGCAAGTTTGCTGCAGTTGGCTTCCACAGAGCCTTGACGGATGAACTGGCTGCCCTGGGAAAAAACGGAGTCAAAACGTCCTGTCTCTGCCCTAACTTCATAAACACGGGTTTCATCAAGAACCCGAGTACCAAGTAAGCAGGAACCAGAATGAGACCGCTGGGGCGGGTGGTTGCTATAGAGCACCTTCTGTGGGGGATTAATCCTGAGCAGATTAATCCCTGAATACCTGATATCTGATGCTGTTAGTTCGCCTTGTTTTCATCTTTTGTCCCTGTGGCATCAGCTTTAGTAATCATAACGCGGGTCTTTTTTTTTTCTTTTGGATCTTTTGTTTTTTATTGAGCTGTATTTTTTTCTCCACTTCCCTCCCTCCCCTCCTCTCCCCTCCCCTTCAGCCCTCTCCCATGGTCCCCATGCTCCCAATTTACTCAGGAGATCTTGTCTTTTTCTACTTCCCATGTAGATTAGATCCATGTATGTCTCTCTTAGGTCCTCATTGCATAATGCAGGTCTTATGAAAATGATTTCCTTCGGGTAGATCCGTGAAGGGCCATTAGCATATCAAATCAAATGTCTAGAAATTGTCGTTATTCCTACAGTGCCCTCCAGAAGGGCCATTAGCATATCAAACCAAATGTCTAGAAATTGTTGTTATTCCTACAGTGCCCCTCCAGAAGGGCCATTAGCATATCAAACCAAATGTCTAGAAATTGTCTTTGTTATTCCTACAGTGCCCTCCAGAAGGGCCATTAGCATATCAAACCAAATGTCTAGAAATTGTCTTTGTTATTCCTACAGTGCCCTCCAGAAGGGCCATTAGCATATCAAACCAAATGTCTAGAAATTGTTGTTATTCCTACAGTGCCCCTCCAGAAGCAAGGCACTAGTGTACAGTTGACCCACAGTGAAGGTGGGAACCTTACTTCTTAAACTTCCTTTCTGCTCTTTTTAAATCATTACCAACTCCACTCATGAAGAATCTTTATGTTTATATTAATAACTAGCTCTCGTAACCGCTTTCGTGGCTTGTCTGTTTCATGGTATGAGCTCGCTCTTCTAGGAGCTCCAGAGTTTTCAGCAGACAGCCCTTCCTGTTTCTTTACACATTACATTGGTTCCGTATGTTCTCCCAAGGGCTCTCCCCGTGGCCGTTAGGTTCCATGAGGTGTTTGGAAAGGTCCCTCTCTTGACACACCTACCCACATCACTTTCTAGTCGCTTGGGTGGGAGGAGTTGGGGCAGTAGTTGGACCCAGTGCTTTGCATACATGCAAGGCAGGTGCTCTGTCGGGGAAAGCCGCATGCCAGTCCTCTCATGACGGTTATGTCTGTACTTTTTACATTGAAATCTTTACCTCAATTTGTTTTGGCTTAAGAAAGAACAGCCTCATTGCTTTTCCCAAAGAGCTAATGAGTTATTCTGTTTTATTGTTTAATAGCTCATGATTTCCCTCATGGACCTAAATTTATATCATAAATTCATGTATGTACTTAACTATTCATTTGGATTCTCTGTTTGGTTATATTGATATTATAAATTATTTTAACTTATTCTGCCCCCTCAGATTTTGTTCTGTTCTCCTCTGATTTGGCCGTTCTTTGTGAAGTGTCTGAAGTTAATGAGGAGTATGTCAGTGACTCACTTGGGAAGAGGGCTCGTTCTGGTTTAAATACGGGCTGAGTTTAAAGCCAATACTGGACCCAAATAGGGAGCCTTTTAAAAGCACCAGGATCCCTAGGGCCTGACAAACACAGGTGCTCCTGACTACAGTAGATTCGCCTCTTGGTGACGTCATCACAAACTGACAGCCTGGTTAGCGGAAAGGCAGTAACTTACCCACCTTCCCTAAGGCCACAGCCACAGCAGCACAGAGGGGGAGCATCTGGCCTCACTCACTGGAAGCTGCGGGTTCCTGCTGCCCAGCCAGACAGATGCTAAAATTAACATCTGAAATACAATGTTTTCAGAGCACACAGCCGTCTAAAGCTTAAAGACCGTGACTGAGCTGTGAGACACCCTACGTCCATCTGTAGTATAAAATTTATTTTCTCTTTAGTTTCTCCATGGGTGCATAGTCATTGTACTGGGTATTATATTAAATAAGGACATTTTTCTTTCTTTTCATTTTAACCCAGGAACTTCTGTTTTGTTTATTTAATTATATTGAAACTACTAAATAGATTTATTTTTACAAAGCAATATGCAAGTTGCAATATCCAAGCTAATAACAATTTTTAAAGATTTATATAGTGATATAATTTATACTAGTAATGGATTGCCAGATGATTCAGCAGCAGTTAGGGTTGGTGCGGGGTTAGAAATATAAAATTCATCCTAGTGAGTTACACCGCAGTTGGAAGTTAGGAATGAAACTTTGTACTGATTGATAGAGTCCTCCTGTCTTATCTTAAGGGACCTATGTGTGATGCTAAGAATCTTGTATAGATTTTGCAGGGAAATGGATGATAAAAACAAATGCCTTTAATCAGATCAGCTAGGTTTTCTAATTGATTCACATTTAGTGAATTTATAATGTTGGTAATACATGGACACATTTTTACAGGCTGCTCACTTCAAAAATGTGTAAGAAAAATTGTTACAACTTGAATTTGTAATAAACAGTTTACATTTCCCCTCCCTCCCTCCCTCTCTGTCTCTCTGTGTCTCTCTTTGTCTCTCTCTGCTCCAGACAAATGCTGCCATGCTGTGTGTCCTTTTTTCCCTTGGGCTGGGTGTGGAACTCACATCGCTGTGCTAGCAGAGCGAGCACCCTACTGACTGAGCCATCTCTCCAGCCCCCCCCCACTTGCTCTCTCATGTCACACAGACATACACAATTTCACATGTCTGTATACATCCTAGAATCACAAATGATAGAGAGTATGTTTGTCTAAGACTGACTTAATTCACTTAGTATGATCGTCGCCAGCTTCATCCATTTTCCTGAGAACAACGTATCTTCGTCTTTATGGCCAAGAGCATTTTGTCATGTGTTTACTGCCTTTTCTCTACCCGTTCCCCTGCTTTTGGACACCTAAGTTACCACCATCTCTTAGCTGCCATGACTAGAACTGGAGCAAACACTGGTGCAAGGTCTCTGCGGCAGGCGGGTTTGCAGTCGCTCATGTCTTCCTAGGATCTTAGGGTAGATCTCCATCCTGATCTCCCCTCTGGTTTACTTTCTCACCTGCAGCGTGGTGAGGAAAAGCAGAGCTTGGGCTTGTACTTAGCGGCTGGCGTGTGCTCACCTGAGCTCTGAGCTCACCTGAGCTCCGACTTGGCGTTGAAAGCGCTGCCACTCTGACTGGGGGAGGTGTAACTCAATGTGTGTATTTCTTTGGTGGCTGCTGAAGCTGAGCATTTTCCCCATCTTTATTGGCTATTTGTTGTTCTTTTGAGAACGATCTGTTTCTTTAACTTAGTGTCTTGATATTCAGGTTTTCAGTTCTTTGTACAATCTAGACATTAATCTTCTAATTAAGCTAAGATTCTGTCCCGGTCTGTAGTCCGTCTGTCTTCACTTTGTGTTCTTATCTTTTCTGTGCAGAAGCTTTTCAGTATCACCCCAAAAACATCTATGCTAAGACACGATTTTGTCAAAAGACAAAAGTAGTTCTTCTAGCAGGAACCAGTAGCTCCAGCACTCTGGAAGTTAAATTTTTATCAGCCTAGGCAAGAAGGTAAGCCCTGTCTCAAAACAAAACAAAAACAAACAAAAAAGAAAAACAACAAAACAGAAACAAACAAAAAGCCCCAAAGCCAGACTTTCTCGTTCAGAATCCAATTCTTAATTCCATCTGAATTAGCTGTAAAACCCTAATTTGGCCTTGAAGGAAGAAGAGGACACCAGCAGGTCAGCTGGGCTGAAAAGCAGAGTTAAGGAGAAGGGAAATCTTTTTCATTAAATCCAAGAGCAGGCGTGCCAAAATAACACTCGCAGCTTTCCTCTTATCTCGGGATTTAGATGTTAAAGTAACACATTGGCACCTGTGTTCTCAAAACTCCAGGCATCTTTCAGTTATTAAAATCAGCTGCCACATTTTAAAGCAATTACTCTTTTAATCGCACCCTAAAACATGGTTGGACAGTGCAAGAGCGCCCTCTTCTGGCAAAACTACATCCATACAAGAAACAGAACTTTTTAAAACATGACTGGCGGCAGGAATCCCATACAGGGTCTTTTTCTTACACCTCGAACGCTGGGGCAGATGCTGTCTAGTTATCTGGTAGATGAGCCAACTGAGGCTTACAGATAATCTAACAACTCACCCATGAGCAACAGAACAGAACCTCAGACATGATTACCCAAAGTCAGGTTACGCACTGAAGAGACTGAATTTGAAATGATTATATTATTTCATGTTATATATTACATGTTAATATTGACATTTAAATCCACTCTAAAAGGGCACTCAAGTGTTGTTTATCGCTTCTTGTAACACAGAAGCCTTCCATCAAGTCTAAAATTCACTGTTGTCTAAATTTATGGAAATTAAATATTATGCATTTCAATTAAGTCCTTGAGAATTAAAAGTTATTTTTATTAAATAAGATAGGCTAATGTACGGGCTGGTTGTGTGTCAGCTTGATACCAGTCATCAGGACGGAGCCTCAGCTGAGGAGAGGCCTCCATGAGCTCCAGATGTAAGGCATGTTCAGTTAATGACCAGTCTATGGAGGGTGGTGTCAACCCTGGGCTGGTGGTCCTGGGTTCTATAGAAAGCAGGCTGAGCAAGCCAGAGGAAACAAGTCAGTAAGCAGCACCCCTCCATGGCCTCTGCGTCAGCTCCTGCCTCCAGGTTCCAGCCCTGTTTGAGTTCCTGTCCTGGCTTCCTTTGATGATGAATAGTGACGTGGAAGCGTAGGTCAAACAAACCCTTTGCTCCCCAATTTGCTTTTGGTCATGGTGCTTCGTTCCAGCAATAGAAACCCTAAGACAGCTAGCAACAGCCTTATTTCAAAACATTTACCTGCTAAATGCCAGAAACTGTATTATATACTGTATAGTTGGCTCTATACACTGCTCTGAGCCTGCATGGTCAGGTTCGACATATTCACATTCTCTCTGCCCGTCTCATTTCCTACAGCCAAAGCTGGACTCAAACTAAGTATGCAGTGAGATTGCCATGAGCGTCTGATTCACCTGCCTTCCAGTCGCTGGGATTACAGGCACTCCGCCACCCAGTTTGTCTTGCTCTAAGTCTTATAACAACTCCGTGAGATGGGTCAGCTAGCTGTCAATCCAACAAAATACCTGGGATAATCAGCTGAAGAGGGAACACAGTTGCTTTGGGCCAGTTTTGGAGATTCCTGCCTGGAGTTGATTAGCCTTAGGCTTTGGGGCTTGGAGCAAAGCAGCAGCTTATAAACCAGGTGTGGCCCCTGAAGCCTCTAATCTTAGAGTGTTCTAAACTGAGTATCTTGGGCTAACGGTCAGTTTGGGCTTAAATATCAAGACCCCACACAAAACAAGAAGTTTCCTTGTCATCTGTTCTTAGAGGAATTTGAAAAGGGTTTCTATCAGTTCTTCCTTAAATATTAAAAACAAATGCAAGCTGTAGCTGAGTGGTGGTGGCACACTCCTTTAATTCCAGCCTTCAGGAGGCAGAGGCAGGCGGATCTCTGTGAGTTCCAGGCCAGCCTGGTCTACAGAGTGAGTTCCAGAACAGTCAGGTCTATACAGAGAACCTGGGCGTGGTAGCTAGGATCTCCAGTTCAGTGATGGCTCAGTCTATGTAGGGAACTCTAGGCTAGCCTGAGCTAATTGTCAGACCCTGTCTTAAATAAGCAGACTTGGGTACTGGTTGAATTTCTTTCAAAGTCCTGTTCCATTTTTCACCTTCTTCTTGAATCAGCGTTCATGGTTGCACCCTTAGTTTGTGCTTGTCACGTGGGCTCTTACTGGAACACGGCTGGCTGTTCATGGTGCTCTCGGGATCTTTATTTCCATGAGTTCCTGGAAATGGCCCTACTTTCATTCTTGAATTTATATGCTATGTCTTCTATTTTCCTGAGTTATTCTAGCTTAAGACATTGTTAATTTTGTGGTTCTTTTCAATGAATCAATTTGATTTCATGGATTCTCTCTGCTGTGTTTCTGGCTTCTATTCCATAGATCTATAATTAATTAGATTTTTGCTGCTTCTCAATTTGACTTGCTTTGTATTTGGTTTAATTTTGGCTTGTAGCTTTTTAAATGTTTTTTCTTATTTTTTGATATAATTACATCTTTTCCTTTCTTCAAGCGCTCCCATGGAATGCCCCGCCCTGTCAAATTTGTGACCTCTTTTCTTTAATTGTTGTTGTTTGTGTGTGTGTGTGTGTGTGTGTGTTATTTAACATATATGTACAACCTGCTCAGTCCATATGATGTTACTTGTATGTATATGACTTCAGGACTGACCTGGTGTGCTCTTCCCTGAGGGAGACCATTTCTCCTGCTCGGGCATTCCTCCATCACCTGTAGTTCTTTGCGGACAGTTGAGGCCCCACGAGCCTTCTTACTTCCGTGTTAGTATGTCTGGTGTTGTCCTTGTTCAGCTCACATTTAAGCAGTCCTTTTAGTGAGATTTTATGCGTGCAGCTTCTGACATTTCTAGGAGACATGGTCTGTTCCACTGGCTCTGACGATCTCTCTGCCCCCTCTCCTTCTACCACAACCCTTAGGTTCAGGGATTGTGTTGTAGATGTATCTGCTGAACTGGGATCTACAACTCTGCCTTTTGATGGGTTATGAATTCTGTAATGGTCTCCATCTGTAACAAAGAGAAGTTTCCCACATGAAGGGTAAGAACTTTATAAGGATAAGTATCTAGAGTGTAGTTAGGGATTGCAATGGTTTAGTAGAGTGATGGTTATAGAGTCTCCACATAGGTCCACGACCTCACTAGCCCTGGGTAGTTGGCCAAATTTCCAGTACCAGTAGAGCGCTTTTGGTTACTACTGAGGTACTGCCAAGGTTCTACCACTACCACTCCCTTAGAGTTGTCTTACTGCTGGTCATTGTACTAGTTCACAGACATCAAAGCTGGCTTGCTTCCTTCCTTTGGAAGCTTGGATGTCTTCTCAATATGGACTATCCCATCAATTGATTTGATACTTTCCTTCTTTTTTAATGTAGGCTGCCAGCCTTGGGTTCCCCTCTGAGCACTATATTAGACATTTTGCTATGGTGTGCCTTCTTTTCATCCAAAGCATCTGGTTTTCTGTAGCTTCTCTAGCCTGCTGGATGTACATGTGCGTGATGCTCACTTCCCCGTGACTGCGAACTTTCCAGTTCCCTTTGTGTTGCTGGTTTCTAATTTCACTCCATTGTAGGCTTCAACCATTATGATCAGAACATAATTTGTTCCGTTTCCATCTTTTTACACTTACCTAGACTTGTCTAATGCACGGCCTGCCCTAAAGAAACTTTTTCTATGTGCTCTTGAAAAGCCTATGTAGTCTGCCGCTGTGAAGGGACTCCTTTGTCCACGTTGGGTCAGTCTAGTGCTGACTCCTCGTAGTTTTGAAGTCTTCTTTTTCTTGGTGTCCTCGTGTCTCACTGTTTCACACGCTGTTGAAAGTGAGGAATAAAGTCTCCAACTATGACTGCCAGACTCTGTTTTCCCCACTCTATTCTGACACTTTTAGCTTCCTATGGTTGGAGACCTATTGGGAGAAAAAGGCCCTTGTGCTCAGAGACAGCACGAGGGAAACCAGGAATGTTTTAGACACAGGGCTGTCTTTTCAAAGGAAAGGCTTTATAACCTGTTTTTCAACCCAGAAGACTAGGGATGAAGGTGATTAATAGTCTGATGATCAATGTTATCAGTATGACAAGGGTCTCCCTCAAGCTCCTACAACCAGGACCGGAGGTGACTACAGCCCAGGTGACCTCCACATCCTCTCTGTATGACTGGGACAGTGCCAGATCCTCCCGTAGGCCCATAAGCTAGCACAGGGTCGCCTATCTCTGGAACCCGTCTTCTTGGAAGAAGTGACATGTACTTTAAGTTGAGCTTTTGTTGTAACTTTGTGTCCTTGTGCATAGGGGATTGCATTATAGAGAAAACTTCCCTTCAAATTGTACTGTGCTTAAATATGCTTACAATAAACTGCTCGGGCTCAGACTCTAGGAGTTTGAAACAACACCAGCTGCTGAGTCGTGTTGGACTGGATTTCCTACACTCTACTGGCTTGGTGGTTGCAGGAACCCCCACAGAGACCCTATTGTTTCAAGAACAAACTGTTTTTAATTAAAAATCTTCTTGAAAGAATTTATCTTTCTGTTCAATTAGCGTTATGAACAATGCAGCATGACTGCAGTATTAGACCAAGGGTAATTGATAATCCTTTTTTTAATAACCAATTTTTTAAAACATTTGCTCTTCTTGTATATGGCTCTATTTTTTCCCTAAATATTTTCAATTTGTATATATGTATATATAACATAAAAATTACTTTATTTCAGCTTGTTCATAAAGAGATGTTACATAGCAAGGTGGTACCTGTATAGTAGAGCTCCACAGCGTGCTAACAGCACACATCTAGTTCCTCATCACACCCCAGACAGTGTGGCTGCCTGTAGCACAATTAAAAAAAAACCCAGAGACAGAAATTGGGGTTCAACCTGAAGGTCAGAAAAGCAAAACAGTCAGTCACTGTCTCTTTTACCTCTACCTCAGTCCAAAATGGTGATCCTGCCTCCAGGAATCTCAGAATGAGCTGTGTCTGAGAGCTGTCTCCTCCCATTTTATAATCCTCTACAGGGCTGGGATTAAAGGCATGCACCGCCCAGTATCTATGGCAAACTAGTGTACTACTGGGATTAAAGGTGTGTGTGACCACTACCTGTTCTGTAAGGCTGATCAGTGCAGCTGTTTTACTCTCTGATCTTCAGGCAAGCTTTACTTATTAAAATACAAGTGAAATATCACTACAGCTGCTGGCTTGTGCTCCGAAGATGCCCCATGGGTAGCTGAAACCTGCCGTGGGAGGACCATTAATACCATGGAAATCAGCAAGTGCTGCAAAACTGGGAAGCCTGACTTCTGGAGAGCCGCTTGTTAAAACTGGGAAGCCTGACTTCTGGAGAGCCGCTTGTTAAAACTGGCCACCTTGCTGCTGCCGCCTTGAGCCCATTTTTAGATTAAGAAACAACAAGCATTAAAACCCGAGTTTGTGTTGTATTTGTTTCCCCACCCAATTACTCAGCCACTTAAATGAGAAATCAATCAAACCCAATTTGATCTGGAAATTCTCCTTGGTCTCCCTTCTTGTCCAACGTACCCTCCTTTCTGACCCAACAGATTGGCCCGTAATACTGATGTGGTGTTTTGTTTTGTTTGTTTGGTTTGCTTTGGTTTGGTTTGGTTTTAGTTTTCTGAGACAGGCTTTCTCTATGTAGCCCTAGCTATCTTGGAACTCACTCTGTAGACCAGGCTGGCCGCAAACTCAAACTGTCTCTGCCTCCTGAGTGCTGGGATTAAGGATGTGTGCTACCACCACCCAGCTTGATGTATAGTTTCTACAAAAGCCATTGTGAGCATTTAAACATAATTGCATTTCTTCTCAACATAGGGATGTTAGAAGAAATTGAGATTTTTCTGAAAGTCCTATCTTTTAGGCTTTTAAACCACAATACTCTAGAGTTATTGCACTTCATTCAGAAGTTGTCTGACTTAGGCAGTGCAGGTACATCAAGCAACATTCAGTCACTACAGCACTTCCTGATGGTGGGTACCCGGCCACAGTGTAGACTTCCTGATGATGGGTACCAGGCCACAGTGTAGACTTTCTGGTGGTGGGTACCCGGCCACAGTGTAGACTTCCTGATGGTGGGTACCAGGCCACAGTGTAGCCCCCAGTGTCCTATGCCATTCACACAGGTGTTTATGAACTCGTGGTTCCAGAGCAGCCTTTCCTCTGAATGCAGAATCCTCTTGTTCAACACCAAACTTCGCTCAGTGAGCTATCTTGTTTCTGAAGCCTGCTCTGTTTTAGTTTAGGGCCCACCCTGGAGCCTGAAGAGGTGGTAGAAAATCTCATGTACGGGATCCTCACTGAGAAGAAAATGATATTTGTTCCGAGTTCTATCAAGTTATTGATGGCATTTGAAAAGTAAGTGACACTTGTGTTTGTTGATGTTAGAAATCACCGTGTTCCTGCTCGATTTAAAATCAGTGGATTTAATGCATTTATATGGGAGTGAACTGACAAAATGAGAAGAGGCGACGAGGTTCTGAGTTTTTAAAGCTGAGGGTGCTAATCGTCGAGAGAAGACTGGAATAGTCACCGAGCACTTTCATGTGTTTTTAAGGTTTGTTAGTTGTTCTTGTTTTTAAAGAAATTCATGTCTCATTGGTGAACGTGATTGTTTTAAAGCATTTCTAGCAGTAGATTCATTGGACAGTAGGACCAAAGGAGACCAAGGTTAGGTTTTTTTTATTTTTATCTTTTTGTCACTTGTAAAGCAAAATGCTTATTATCAGTGCTGGGTTCTGACCCAGTAGGTAATTTCAAAGCCATCTAAGAAAGACATGGTCTCGCATTACCAATGAAGACTGGGTTTGCTCTTAAATCCTGCAACTGACAGCGTTAAGATGGTGGTAGGAGAAGGCAGCTGTCAGGGGAGCAACAGCTCTCATGGTTTCTGGCTTCTAAATGGAGACCATACAGAACAGAGAAGCTTCCCATGGGGATCCATCTCTTGAGTCCAGAACGGTCACTGTAGAATCTTGCTCAGGAAATAGGTCTGCTGTCTGCTGTAACCTCCGTCATCTAGATGGATGGCCATCCTCTCTCCACAGTGCTAACCTTTTCGGTTTGCCGACCTTTAGTGACATATGGAACCCTAACAAAAAATACCTTAGAAGAGAGCAAATTAAAATAAAATAAAAATCAGCATCTGTAACGCAGGAAGAAATACTAGCAAAGTACCTTGAGAAGCTTTGAGTGAGACAGTTCACAGATTCGTCACAGTCTTTGTTCGGTAACAAAAAAAGTTATATTTTAGATCCACATTCACAGATCTCATGGGAGTTTTCACAGTATAGAAAGTCATCTTGAAGCATAGGAGTCACTAAATGATCTATAATTTTAGAGATCTGGGCCTTGCTTGCAGTGTGGTCCCTGCATTGTGAACATCCATGTGACTCAGTGTTTGTTAGGAGTGCAAAATCTCCTGCTCCCTTGAATGAGAATTTTCATTCCCTCCAACTCCCCAGAAGATGTGTTCTTTGGCTGTCGCATTCTCTGGTGCAAACAGGAGTTCCCTGGAGAGGCCCAGAAAGCGCTGATTTTTGAGACCTGCTCTCTAGTTCTTCGGGTGACTCCCAGACTTGGCAGAAATTAGAAATCAGGGGTGCTAAGAATGCCCATAAAACACACACCCTCCTAAGGAACTGCCTGAGAACCTGTGTGGCCGTTGAGGCTGTTCAAATAGTACCCGCAGGAGCGCTGGGGGAAACAGATGTCCTTGCCCTCTGTGCCTAGACAGGGGCTTCTACAGCTTCATGGGGTTGCTTGAGATATCTATTTCAATACAGATTATTTCAGTCTGGACTCAGAAATCTGTGTTTTAACAGGTAACTGCTACCAGCATCTGATTTAAAAAAAAAATCATTCTGAACTAAAGATTAAAAAAAAAAAATACCAACCTTAGGAGATCTAAGTATGACAAGCCTTCTAGCCCCTTCTGCTCAAGCCCCAGCTGAACATGCCCTCAGGGTTAGGTAAAAAGCCAAGGGAAGGGCTAGAGAAATGGCTTAGCAGTTAAAAGATCTTGCTGTGCTTACAGGGGGACCAGGGTTCAGTTCCCAGCATGGTGGCTCACATCCATCCATAATTGCAGTTCCAAGGGATGCAGTACCTTCTTCCAGTTCCAAGGGATGCAGTGCCCTCTTCCAGCCTCAGAGGATACCAGGCACACACACCATGCACTTACAGACATATAGACAAAATACTCATCCGTGTAAAATAAGAAAGAAATCTTGTTATTAAAACCATCTAAAGTGCACCACAAGCACTTGCTTGGGGCCGTATACCGCGATTGCCGCTCTTACTGTTGGAATCGCCATTACGGTATGCGGTGTGCAGATTCCAAACACTGTTTGAATGCTGTCTGGCAGGTCACTGTACGCCATTACACTGACCTATACATCCCGTCTACTTTCTCTCAGACCCACTGGACTGTGACAAACTTCTAAACAGTCTTTAGTGCACACTCCGGGGAGAAAATAATGAGATGAGCTGCGTGTCTGTCGCTGTTCATAGCCTTTAATATCAACATAGAGATTGTTCACAAGAACAACTGGGCATAATTTTTTCCATACACGCACGAGAAACTCAAACTCAAAGGTTAATTTGTTCACCGTTATGCTCAAGACCAGGGGTACTGCCTGCATTGTCACTGCCTTTTCTGGGCTTCGGGGCAGCATTTCAGTGATGTCTGAATTACATCACCTTAGCCCTCACATCTGCTTCCTCTCCAGCTGCAGTGGTTTTTAACCCTTTAGCATCTCAACTGTTTGGCTTTGTATACCTCCCCTCTGAGGTCTTCTGAAAAAAGGAAAGAACATATTTATTTTAAAAGTAAATAAATACTTATATGTGTAAATTTCAAAATATATTCAGGACACTTCTACCCTAGTGAAAGTTAACTTACTTATTTAAGGAAGTGAAAGGTTGGGCAGTGGTGGCACAGGCCTTTAACCCCAGCCCTCGGGGGAGGTGGACAGAGTCAGGCAGATCTCTGTGAGTCTGAGACCAACCTAGTCTATAGAGTGAGTTCCAGGACAGTCTCCAAAACTACAGAGAAACCCTGTCTCGGAAAACAATTGAATTGAAATACAAAAATTAATTTTAAGTGAATGTGTTTTTCAAAAGTACTTGGTATCATTTTCCTAATATACTTGTGCGTCTCTCCTAGGATCCTTCCTGAACGGTTCCTGGCTATTCTGAAGCACAGGCTCAACATTAAGTTTGATGCAGTTATTGGATACAAAGACAAATGATGACTCTGGTCTCATGAAAAGCTGACTTACTGCTCTCAAGTTGATTCCTTCCCATTGTAATCAAAATTTTAATGTTTTCAATCTTCTGGGGTTTTTGTTATCTTGTTTCCTCACCGTCTCTTTTTGAAGTGTGATCATACTCACGAAAGCCAGCTTCCCATCATAGAACCAAGTGGCCTTAAGAGTTGTTCTTATGGAAAGGGGAGGGGAACATGGTCGATTTCAAGATAATATTTTTTTTCAGATTTTGCAGCTCATCCCCAAGTGTTCAGAACTTGTGCTGTCCATTTTTATTTAAGATATTTGTCATTGTACTTTTAGCTTGTGTAATTCACATTTCCTCCTCTGTTCCATATAAATTAGAAACGTTAGCCTCTGCAGAGGGAATGAGGACAGGTCTAGTGTCATCTCTCCGTGCTTTCATGTGCGCTGAAACATCTCACCCATGAGCAGCACTGTTTCCTGAAGTACCAGTCCCAGGAAGCTGGGGTAGATGCTCTTGCAAGGATAAAGGCATCTGCGGGCTTTCAGACTGAAGTGCAGGACAATACATTTAAAATGGTAATAATGAATGGACCACATTTCAGTCCTCAGTGTCTCTGCTACACATAGAACATGACTTGACCTTTAAATTAAAGGAAAATTAGTGATGCAATAAAGTCTGTCTTTTTCTTTGTTTTTGTTTTGTTTGGTTGTTGTTGTTGTTTTGTTTTGATTTGTCTCCAGAAACTTCTTGAAGGTGAAGTTCAGTGGGGTGGGGCTGTATGGTCAGGTTCAGGGTTGGGTGGTGCATGTAGCTCCATTGGCCAAGTACAAACCTAACAGGCACAAACAACTGGGCTCCATCCCTACTGCTCTGCACCACATCTGGCCTGTAAACACACTTGAAGGAGAAGTGCTTGATATGGTAGCCCCTGCCTCCTTTAGTAATAAGCCTAATACAGAACTACATACAATAAGAACAAATTTAAATTATTGTCCATGGAAAAAGGAGGCAAAACCATACATAAAAATTAGAATTACAACCAGCATGAACAACAGCAAACAAGAAATATATGCTAAACGTTTCAATAGTTATCCTATCCTAAGAAGTCTAAGTCTTATATTAAAAATGGTGAAGCTTGCATGGGAACCCTGAGGGTGAGGAGAATCTTAGGTTATATGAAAGTCAGTTCTCTCCATGATACCAGACCATTAGGTGATGCAATATTTCCAGAATAACTTTGAGAGATGCAGTTTCATGTTGAAACATAACTGCTTCTCCGATAAACAGGTCCAAAGGGCACATACTGCTGGGTTCCCTGACCTGTGCTGAGCTTCTGTTAGAAGCTGGCCTCGTTTCAAAAACCAAAGGTGTATCTGATTTGTCAGGGGCGGGAGGAAAAGACTGCCTCACCTCCCGCAGCCTGTCATACCCAACAGAGCTCTCTGTGGAGTTCTGTGCAGAGGCGTCTGTTTCCAGAACGCAGCCGAAGGGAGAGCGTGGTGCAGAGCCATGCACATCATCCTAGATCTTCTGCTGCTGGTGGCCATCATCCTCTGCTCCTACTTGGAGTCGCTGGTCAAGTTCTTTATTCCCCAGAGAAGAAAATCTGTGGCTGGACAGGTCGTTCTCATCACGGGGGCCGGACATGGAATAGGCAGGCTGACGGCTCATGAATTTGCAAAGCGGAAAAGCAGATTGGTCCTGTGGGACATCAATAAGGTAACACGTGTTTTTGTCAAACTTCAAAGTCACAAAATAATAAGGCAAAATATAATAAGAAGAAATACACAATAATAATGTATTTCTTTGGTTATTTGATTTAGCACTTCTTTTTGTTTTCCTTTTACAAAGTTTTAATAAATCCTCCGGAGCCTTGCATGTTCTCTGTGACAGGTTGACTGGATGGAGAGAAGAAGCTGGAGGACTAAGCCATGGGGTTTTTTGTTTTGTTTTGTTTATTTGTTTGTTTCTACCACTGTACACAGGTGATACCAAAGCTGCAGGAGCCGGGAAGCCCCCAAGCTGCTGGAACTAAGCAAGCCACATCACTTACCTCAACTTCATTGTTTTTAAATCTCTACAATTGGGTTGAAACTTCAGAGGGCAAAACTGGAAGTGATAAATGTCAGGTGAAACAAGCCAGGCTAACAGAGGGAAGGATCTGCTGGGCATGGTCGCTCTGCTGTGGCCCCAGCACTGGAGGAGCCAAGCAAGAGGATTGCTGTGAGCTGGAAGCCAGTCTTGGCTACAGATAGAATGATAACCAAAGCCAAAGAGGGAGGCTGTCAGAGACTAGGGGAGAACAGCAATCATGGGGGCTGCTAAACATCTCGTGTGTGTATGCGTGGAAATGCCATCCCGAAACATACTATTTTGTGCATTACTAAAGAAAGAACACTGAGGTTAGCAAAGCACAGGACACATAGGAGCTGACCCTACAGCAGGTCTTCATGAGCAAAAGTGACAAAGGGTTACATTCTGCCAGGTTCCAAATCAATGCTAAGACAGGAGGGCTTTTGTAAGCTCTTATGAGCAAATCTTGTCATATGCGATCATGGGTTTCATCATAAAAAAAAATGATTATTTTGATCATACTCAGTCCTCAGCCCCATTTTTATCTCTTGCCCCCTCACACTTGCTGACCCCCATTCTGACGGCCCCCCACTTCCATGTCTTCTGTATGTGTACGAGCTCTAGAGTTTAGTTAGGATTGCTTCCACGAGCTGCGCCGATGAGCCTTCATTCCAGGAGCAGGGACACCTTGCCAGTGGCTGTGCTGCTGAAGCAGGCGACAGTGGTGAATCCTTCTTCTTCAGTCAAAGCACCTGCTTGAAGCTCTGGTTGCTGCTACTCTTTCCAGACCTCAGATCTAGACAAAATGGAGTGGGGGGAGAGGGGTTGGAGGCAGCTGGGCCTTCGGGAAGTAAGCAGGTTTCCAGCAGAAGCCAAAGTCAGTGGAAATTCTCCTACCCAGATTGCTGTTCTATGCTGCCTCCCACCCCAAGGCTATCTGAAGGGACAGTTGGTTTTGTAGTGGCATTCTAATCCTTGTTAAAGTGCGAGGGTTTTTGTTTGTTTTGTTTTGTTTTGTTTTGTTTTTGAGACTTCAGTTGCTGCTCTGTAGTTTAGCCCAAGATGGGGAAATACAAAGGGGACCCAAGGGAGGCCATCAGCCTATGCCAAGCCCACCCATCCACTGAGGGATGCCTCACGAGATGGTGACACTACTTCCGTCCCGGTGTGCACAGGAAAGGGTTTCCCGGGCGTCTCACTCTCCATCACAGAGAAGTGGGGACAGCCAGGAGAGGGAAATGTATAATTTTTAAAAACTATTTTAAGCTAGGCAGTGATGGCACATGTCTTTAATCCCAGCACTTGGGAAGCAGAGACAGGTAGATTTCTGTGAGTGCAAGACCAGCCTGATCTACAAAGTGAGTTCCAGGACAGCCAGGGCTGTTACACAGAGAGACCCTGTCTCGAAAAACAAATTAAAACAAACAATTATTTTAAACCTCATAATATTCCCTATGAAATCAACAAATGCCAAAACTTGGAAAGGATTCATATTTCCTTGAAATGGAGGTCAAAAATTAAAATTAAAGCCTCCCAGGGTGTTGACTCACACCTGTAAAAGCAATATTCAGTAGGATGAGGCAGAGACACTGGCCGGAGTTGGAGCCCCTCTTGGGGTACACACTGTAAACAAGGGGTAGAGAGTGACAACTGATCTAAAACAACAGGAGAGAAAACACATGTGTGCGAACGCGCACACACACACATACACAGGCATTAGGACAATTCATCTCAAGTAAGATAGAGGCCTCTAAATTTAGGCTAAAAATAAGCTGTCTCCATGTCCGGGACTTGTGCGCAATTTCAACCATTGGCTCTTGGCCTTTATCCACTCAAAGCACCAGATGAATAAATGCCCAGTAGATCATCTGGTGTAGTAACCGTTTTCCCACGGAAGCTTCCCTCAGATAAGACTCTCCTCTGGCACCAGAGGAATGAGTTTGAGTTGTCGAGGCCAGTCAATAGAAATGTACCTAGTCTAGAATCACTGCTAGATAGACACTGCTCAGCCCTTTCCTGCCAGCTTTGGCTCATGCTCCCCAAGGGTGAGCTGAGCAAATGGAGCAGCCACCCTTCTGCCCTCCAAGCTCAGACATCTTCCCTGGCATTGAGAGGAGCATGAGGTACCTTCTAGCAAATCAAGGATGCCCTTTGCGCTATGACGGCATCTCTCTATGTGCAAGCCCCAGTTAGGATGAAAAGCTGCAAAAGCCCTAAATGCAATGGCTGTTTCTCTTCCTTGCTGCTGTTGGTTCGCGGGTAAAGTCAGTGTAATTAGTTCACGGAATTCCCTTACACTTAAGGAGAGACTTATTAGACAAGGATTTTAGAGTCTTTCTTCTCCTTCTCCGGTGCTTATTTTTCCTTGAATTTGCCTTCCACCCCCACCCCCACCCCTGCCCCAACACACAGCGCGGTGTTGAAGAAACTGCAGCCGAATGCCGGAAACTGGGGGCCACTGTGCACGTGTTTGTGGTGGACTGCAGCAACCGGATGGAGATTTACAACTCTGTGGATCAGGTGAGAACCAGGGTGTATCAGCTGACAGTGAGCTGGGAAGGGGAAAGGTTCTCTGGGGCTGCCCAGACACCAGCCGCGCAGTGAAGATGCTGTGTGACCAAAGGAAAGCATAAACAGAACATTATTGGTATTAAAATCCTCAGCTCTGGCCTCTGCTAATGTTTCGTATTATCAATCAAATTTGCTCTGTTCAGAAGTTTGAGCAATGCCCAGAGGAAATGAATGACAGATTCTCTCTCTCTTTCTCTCTCTCTCTCTCTCTCTCTCTCTCTCTCTCTCTCTCTCTTTTGTTTTTTCATTGATTCTTCGAGACAGGCTTTCTCTGTTTAACAGTCCTGGCTGGCCTGGAGCTTTCTCAGTACATCAGGCTGGCCTCGAACTCACAGAGATCCACCTGCCTCTGTCTCCCGAGTACTGGGATTGAAGGTGTGCGCCACTACCGCCCAGCTATGATGGAAAATTTATCTGCAGAATATTTTCCTAACTTTTTTTTTGAGTTACATTTGTTCTACTAGTTTACTACTAGTTACTTATTTCTTCTCTGAGATTTATTGGTTTGTGTACAATGTAACCTTTTATGGAAAACATACAGTTAATGATAGGTAAGCATTTTATTTATTTTGTGTGTATGTGTGCATTGTGTGCCTGAGTGTACGTTGTGTGCACATGCATGCACAGACACATGCATGTGCATGTGGGGGTGTATGTGAATTCAGAGGACAACTTTTGGGAGCAGGTTCTCTCCTCCCACAGTGTGGGTCCTGGGCTTGTCCAGTCTGGAAAAAAATGTCTTTCCCTGCTAAGCCCTCTCACAGCCCGCTCTAGCCAGACTTTAGAAAAAGCACACATGGAGTGCTTTAATGAACCAAGCCATCTGATTCTGATGAGCCGCCACCTTCCTAAGTCAGTTTTCAAACGCCACCAGCCTCTCTATAGATGAGTAAACAAATGCTAGGAGGGTTTGGCTCAGACAAAGGCCATGAGGCCAGTGGGTAGTGGAACCAAGATTAATTACTTAACACTCCAGAAATATTTCATCAGAACTTAAGTATTAGTTTACCAGTACAAAGATTAATTCTTGTTTATTTAAATTCTTAAA